AGATGGTCTAGCAAATTTAGACAAATTTCTTGTACTGGATAGCGGTAGGTATATTTGAAGGTAAAATTGTCCAGCTTGAAGCAGTTTCTGACAGGGAGTTCCCGTAAAAAGTACATTTACTTTGTGGTGAGGTTTAAGTTTCTGTGCTTTAAAGAGCATGCCATCCACAGTGCAGTGTTACGGATAGGATAAACAGGGTTGTAAAAAATTCTATTACTGTTTAATTAATTTATATATTAAAAACCAATCACACATCTTTACAGAATAAAAATTCTCACATGATAGCGAGCTAAAATTTAAATTTTAACATATAGATCTTATGACATATCGTATTACATATAAATTCTTGTCTTTATGACATGGCTCACTGTGCAATTCAGTAAATCTATTTTACAATTTACACTGTTAAGAATGCGAAGTGCTCTGAAAGTGTGTTATACATATTAATAAAAGTATGCAACTAATGAAAAATTTATGAGGTGTACAGACTATTTTGAGATAATCGAAACCCATCATTTAATATTTGAGCTGTACTCTTAAAACGGTACAATCACTACAATTTAAAGTAAGAGACATTTTGAATTATGAACAAGTTTAGATTTAAATACACATATAAACAAAACACTTTAACGGTTTAAAACGTGAAAAACCGTTAAAGTGTTTTATTTAATTGAATTTTGTGAGTAGATTCATCGATCTAGTGACAACCCTAGGGTACGCTCTGAATAAGAGATAGGCGTAGAACCTAAGCCTCTGGACATGAGCAAATCTTCGGACTAAGCGATTTACTTAAGCCTTTAAACTGCTCGAATACTTTCCAACTAGCGTTTAAATCTTGTTTAAAATAGAAAAACTGTTTAACAATTTTCTCGCATGAATCTGAAATAGATTTTGCAATGCACGGTGAAATTATAAAAAGGCACAATTACCTCCGTTACTCAATTGTAGTAGTTGTTATCAGTTCCCTCGCATCATCTGTAAATTTGGCCTAAAAGTGCGAGGAGCCTGGTTTGAAATTCTGCTGAAACAATTAAATTTTCACTATAAATAGATGCTATATAAAAATTAAAGATAAAAAAGAAAGTAAAATATGTAAACTAAGTTCAAGCTAGTTAATGCGGTACTTTGAATTCTCAAAAAAGCACGAAGCATGGCTATAAGAGGTGACATTACCCTCGTGCTTCGAGGAGCCAGTCTGGAGGACCGTGGTGGAGCGAAGTTCCTTATCTCTTTCTACTATAAGAGAAGATATGTATCGAATACATTGAGTTCAAAATAGAATGGGTCGACAGGGCATTTCAAGGCGGTGTTGGCTTGGAAAAATTTTACCTTCCAAAAAAAGGAATTTCCTGGTTGTCTGTCCCTTTTTGTCATTATAATTAAAGACCAATTATTTTGCTCACGGTAACGACAGTACGTTTATTTGTCCCTTGTATTTGTCGACGACATGTCCCTTGCATTACTTTGTCTAACATCGAGAAATAATTCGAGGCACGCGCTTACAAAATTGTATTTATTTCTCCTCAATTATCCTCAGACTTCACAAAGGCCATTAATTCTACCGCCAGAGGTCCGCGCAAATTTGTCAAATGCAAATCGTGGGCAGGCTTTGCTCGCAGTTTAGAAAAATATGCTCGAAAATGCCTTTTTACTTTGTTGTTTACTTCCTGCTTTGTGCGATAACAGTAATTTATAATTTTGCACGGAGTTTAACTTTATGTTTGAAGGGACTAGTAAAATGAAGGTCTACTTTCATTTAAAGATAGTTCGTAATATTTTATGGTTAATTGGTAATTTAAAATGGTTAGCTTTTATGTCGTTTAATAGTTATACAGAGAATAAATACATTAATTATTTTATTTTACATAAGAAAACATGTACGAATAGTGTATAAGTTATATTTATACTAATATATAAAGCTGAAGAGTTTGTTTGAACGCGCTAATCTCAGGAACTACGAGTTCGAATTGAGAAAATATTTTTTGTGTTGGTTTTGTTTATCTAAGAAGGCTATAAAACATAGCCTTGTGACTAATACAAACGAAACGCAAAAATTTAAGAATTTTAATAATTAAGATTTTAACTTCTACTTAAAGATAAATTTTATATTGGGACCGACCGGACGTGCAATTTTTAACTATATCATTTTAATAAAACATGTATTGCTCTTGCTCTGTTACAGTAAAAAATTGCATATTACGTAGATACATCTATGTAAAATATGTAAAAATACATTTACTTACGACGCATAAAACAATCCATCACATCTGACAAGTCAAAAGTAAGATAAATCTACCACAGATGCCTTCAACACTTTGTATGTGGAACCTTACTACGTTGATAAGAGTGCAAAGTAATGTAGTAGGGGATTAAAATATTTAGAAAGAGTACGTAATGCCTAGTCCTTTACAGAAAAAATTGGCTGAAAACCAACGCCGAAGCAAGTGGAAGCTTAAAGTAACGTGAAGAAACTTAAGTATTTTTGGTCATGAAGGGCTGACTTAGGTACTAGCTTACAAGTCTGGTTATAAGAATTGCTTAGTTGTTCTAATTCATTATTTAAAACTTTGTTAGAGGTACAAAACAATTTCACTTATACATAATTTAAAATAATTGAAATTCTATATTCTGTGTTAACAGAAAATCGTAGACCATAAATATGTAACGTATTTGAGCGCTTGTTAGGTTTCCAAACTTATGAAAAAGTCTTAACTAGATTGTGGTTTTGTTATTCTATCTATTTGCGGATTACAGAGTCTTTGTTTTTAGTTTTTGAAAGAAAATGTTTCGTAAGTCACGTCAGATGGGATACAAATAATTACAGATTAAATTGTTGTAGACACAGTTTTTACTTACAATATAGAAAAATAATATAATCATTAGTGTAAGCGTATAAAATTGGAAGGGTAGCTCTAAGCTATTATCTAGTAAAACTTACAGGCTCTTTGTCAATGTCAATCTTTAACTATAAGAATTATGTACTAAAAAGGTCTTGGAGATTTTTTCCAGTTATTAGGTATTATTCGTTGCTGCTACTGATATCTACAACACTGATAACAAACAAAAATACACTTATAAGGTCTAATAATCGAATTATTTTCCTTATACATAGTTTTAGTTAAGTTAATTAGAGTTTAGGCTTGTGTAAATAATGTTAAATAAATATTTAATGGAATTTTTATGTAATGTAATAGTATCTTTTATATAACTGGACCTACTTACAAAATTAAAGTCGGTGCTAACCAATAAATAACTAAAGTGTTATAAATATCCTTGTTTTGCAAATAAGAATTTCCTTAGAATTTAACTGCACATCTTACAAAAATTCAATTTTGTTTAATAGATCTAATTGTACCCAAGGCGTCAATTGTGCCCGTATTGCACCTAATGGGTCTAACAACGGTAAATCATAATAATTGTGCTGTATAGGCGTACAGTGAAACACAATTTAAGCCTTAAGGCATTATGTCCGACGTTTATGGTCGAATAAATTGAGCGAATGCTTAGAGTGCATTACCTGCAGCTCTCAGGAGCCCTATTCTGTTAATTTTCAAGACAGTGACAGGCTAGACGCACACGAATAGCTAGTGTAACTTATTTAAACGACAATCCCCTTTAAAATCCTACTGATGACTGGTTATGACACTTATAACTATGTTATAACCGTTCAAAGTAAAATAGCAAACGATAGAAGCCAGGCCAGCGACAGGCAACGGATAGGCCAGTATAAATAGCGAAATATGACCGTTGGCGTTCAGCCACTTATAAAATAATATCTGTATCTTGTATTCAAGATACAATAAGTAGAAAGTGAGACTCAATTGATCTACCTATACCATTCCCGCTAAATGTTATTTGACGCGTCTGGTAGTAAATATGAAGAATGAATGAGTAGAAAAAAACCTTTAATGTTGTAATTAAAGTTACCTTATAAAAATTGGATTTGTTTAATAAACTAAAAAAACAATAACTTGACTCGTAGCCACTTGAAAAACGTACTTAAAACATAAACATTGTTATTCTCAAATAACTTAAACCCTAAATAATAAATAGATGTAGATGGATTAGTAAAACAATACAAATAACATAAAACGTACAAAACCCCGAACAAGATTGATCGCTCCGCACTGTGTAGTGACGAATGGTTTCATCTGTTGCTTTTTTAGTTTTGCATTTTTGTTACGTTTGAACAAATGCCGCCAGTGCGAAAAAGGTGACGATTTAACATTTTACGATCATACTTTAAGTTTTTTAAGTAGTAAGTGGTAGTTATTTTCATATGAATGAAAAAGAGCACATCTTATTGTTATACTAGACAGTTTTGATTTGTTCAACATACATATATTATAACTTACTACTTACTAACTTCGGTAGACATTAATTCAATCAATCGTGTGGTAAATCTGTTTAGAGATCCTAATTGTATGTCGATAATTATTGCAATTGAAAACGTCTGTCTGCAACACGTGTGTGTTTTGGAGCTCATTTATATTGTCACAATATCAGTTCACGATGTGATGATTTTAGTTACAAAAAATCAGTGTGCTTTAACAATTTTCTAAAGTCGTACTAACACTTAGGTAGACGGACAATTAGACATTTATATTTTTTTGAAATGTATTTATGACTTTTTATTACTGATTATTGCGGCACCTGAAGAAAATATTACATACTTGTGAGAAAAAGCTACGTGTCGTACTTAAAATTTTCGATAGATGTCGCTATAAAAAAGTTGTAGTTCTGTTTTTCTAAAAAACTTAAGTGCAAAAAGCAACTGGATCTGATAAAAACAAAAATTTAATACGATAAAAGCCAACAATTTAAGTAAAAAATTGTTGAAAATATTTTTCTTGATCTTTCATATTGTGTTCTAGCAACACCGCAGAAAAAAGTTATATACAAACAACATGGTGGATCAGCTGTTTTGGTTTCTTCTAAGCCGCAAATTATTTTTATAAAACGGAGTATTGTTATGGTTTCATAGCCATGTGTGAATTAAAATGGGCTCAATCGCATCTGTGCTGCAATGGCATTGTCAAGCGTGTGGTCAGATCAACCCAACAGAGAGTGTAAAATGTTTAAAATGTGGCACGAAACGGGTTTCGAGTCATGACAGAAATTTACAAAAACAATATTACACGGGAGATTCGTCGTCGGAATACGCTTCTCGAACTGAAAAAAGTGGTGGTACAACCCCAGGGTCAGAGGGCATTGTTATACCAACAACAAATAACTTCAATCGGTATGTTTTTTCTTCAATTTATTGACATGCGATTTCAATATTGCTTGTGTCAAAAGGTATCGATTTTTCTAAAGAACATATTTAGGTTAGATTCTCTTTGTATTTCACGGTTGCGTGTGAGAATATCTAGTTCTTTATATAAATTATCGATTGGAATTCTTTGTATGGCCACAGTGTGTCACCATTTCATTGAAAATGTAGGTTTTAGGGGTAACTTTTGTACAATGGTTATAGGTATGTAACTAAATCTAAAGTTTAGAAACGTCACAAACGTTATCATTTATTTTTTACACTCAAATTTTTGTATTATGAAAGTATTGACATTGTTAACTGTACCATAATATTATGTCCTTTTAATTAAGAACAAACTAATATATTCTTTCTTTTCATATATATTGCTTTTCAAACTGATAGACATTAGTACAAAATTGTTAATTTTCACGTTAATTGCTCTATCTTTCTTTGTGTTGTGTTTAATATGTCAAGTCCTTTGTTTTCACGGTTCACTACATTCAGTGAATGTCATATGATTCTACATTTCAAAGGCAAGAATAACACTATTGTAAAGAAATATCGTGTGTATATTGAACAAATTAACTGCATTTAGTTAATGAAATACTACTTTAAATTTAAAGAAACTTATGTTGTTGTTTTCTTTGTATTGCTGTGATGGTTACTTAGTGTGACAAGATTATTTGTTTAAACTACATTTTGCTTAAGGTGAAAATTCTTTGAAAAAATGTGATAACTGATATCGACAATTTTAGTTACAAATCCGTTTGTAGTTAATTAATATTATTTAGATAAAAAATCTCTCTATTCAATATTGCTTATTTTGACCCACCACCACCACTTTCTTTTGTTATCTTAAAGTTTGGTGATAAGTAAAATGCTCAGCTATAATATAGTAATAATTGTTTACGGATATAACTATAAAATTTTTCATACTTAATTAATTCAAAGAATCTTGACACTTTGGTCCAGCAACACGATGTTTCTGTCTATTATTTTTTTGGTTACAATATTTAAAGTAATGTTACTAATAATCTTGTAGTGAGTTTTTGTCAAAAAAAAAACAAAGTTATTAATTATGTTGGTATTACTTGTTACTGTAGATTACTCTACTTATTTCAATGTAATCTTTCATTTTGTGACAGCCGATGGTCGAGTGTGGGATCAGCGCCTGGTGCAAGCCGCGCTTGGCGCTGTGCATGCGGCCTGCGCAACGTATCCGCATCCTGGCGGTGTGCAGCTTGCGACGTGCTCGCTTTACACGCTCCTGTTTACAGGTCAACATTAGTTATTCTTATTTTCTATTGTGAACACCAACCGAAGGAATGGGTGATCAGTCAACGTTATCTGTTAACCATTTCACCCTTTGCCTTTGTGGTCAAATCTCTAAAGTCATACTTGCACAACTAATCATAAATTGTCAATTTCAGACTGTCTGATGATGAAGAACAAACTTCAGGGATGACGGACAAAGACAAGTCTGATAAAGGTATTATAAGTTGTAGCATACATACATATATGTTGTTTTTGTTGTAACTAATTGTTGTTTCTCTATTACAGACAGTATGATAAGGTCCAACACTCTGGCTGTCCCCTCATATAAGCCTTCGTCAAGTTACTCCGACGGACGCCGTTTGAATCTCGACTTGCAGTCTTTACGCCTTTCTCCCACTCAACTAACAGACCAAGCACACGGCGTCACTCGATCCCTTTCTCACGGATCTGTCATCAATTCCCAGCACAAATGGTGGAATATTGATGAAAGTAGAAGTACTATAAGTAGGCCAACAAGTTTAATGGTTTCTGAACGATACGGATACCAGGCTTCAACTTACAATCCTAGAGAGTCTTTCTTAAGAAGTCTCCACACCGTCACGAGAAGACCAAAGAAATGTAACGAGAGCAAATCTAATTGGGAATTGAATTATGTTAAAGAGTATCAAAGGGAGCAAAGCAGGGCACTTCACTTGAAGAAATGGGCCTGCAGTAAGTGTACCCTGGAAAATTCCGGAATAAGAACGCATTGCGAAGCCTGTTTATCTCCGAGGATATCGCCCTTGGCCAGGATCCCCAACACTAGAGGGCTCAGCGTAACTACCTTGGGCAGGCACGAGACGTTTAATAGAGATGGCGCTACGTCGCTACCTACTTCCGGTGGGGTTATGATCACAGTACCCGATTGGCCGCAGACGGAAACTCTGAGAGAGTCGATAAAAAGGTCTGTCAGTGCTCAGAATTCACCAGAAATTCGCCCGACATACAGACGGTCGTTTTCCGAGCAAAACAGTGATAATCGGCCAATAGGCAAGGTCATCTCTAGCAGACGGAGTCTCAACGATTATCAGAAATCGCTTGAAAGTTACTGCGGCTCATTGAAGGACGAGCGAAGAGACAGTTTAGCGGAGAAGAAAATAGACGAGTCAAATCTAGAATTGATTGACAAAGAATGCAGTTGGGATACGAATGCAGAGGGTGTTATTTACGCTCTGCCTAATAAGGGGAAATACAAGGACTTGAACCTGCAGTTGCAGGTGAATAATAACGGCACAAGATACTCGTACGTCTCAGTACAGGACACAAAGACAGTGATGTCGAATTCTCAAAACGAGGTTTTGTATTCTAACGATATAGGTGACGGGGATTATGCCCGCATAGACGAGTTGTTAGGAGCTGAGAACTGTCTATCACCCGTCGGTGAAAGTAACTTGAGGACTTCACATATCGGTGCGAAGGAAAAAGTGTTCAATATGTTGCCGTCTATGGGCAAAGTGTCTCATAATCCGCGGGAGCCGTCAAAAGTGCCTTCTACACAAACTTCGTGAGTCACATTTGCTATTTTTTGAACAAAATTTACAAACACTCATACTATATGTAATTACATGTATTGTTGTAATATGCAGACGCGACGTCAGTGGGCGTATGTGGCAATGCAGTGAGTGCTGGTTCGCGTACAACGCGTGGGGCTCGCGCTGTGAGGTGTGCCGAAGCGCTAGGCCTCCGCACGCTACCACGCTCGCACAGACTCCACATCAAATAACAAATAGGTATAGATTTACGATATCATTCACAGTTAAAAATAACTCCAGTGTATTTTTCAGTAAAATTTGTATATACTTTTTACTATATATTTGAAGTATCCGGCTCAAAGGATCTATTTTCTCAACGTGTATTTTAATGATTAGAAATTCATCGGAAGCTTGCGGACCGAAGCTGGAATTGAACCGGCCAGATCAACCTAAGAAGCTGACAGTGCCCATTGCTTCTATGGAACATGACTTGAATAGTGATGAGTTGCTTTTTGCTGTTGGTGAGTTTATATTGTGTGAGCGCGTGGCGCTTATCATCTTTAATGACCTCAGAGATGCCTTGTTTTATTAAAAGTGTTTGTTAATATAAGTCAAATGTAACGTTTTAGGTTTTCTTTGAATTATAAAAGATTTCCGAAGAAAAGGATAAATAATTTTAAATCTTTTTGTCTTTGTTTAAGTAAAGATTGTGTGATGAATACAGTATTTTTTAGTATGGAATACAGTTGGCATTACATCATTTTATAGACACATCAAGCCCAGCAGAAGCCACCTGGTCATGTTCGCGTTGTACTCTTGTAAATGAAGCGGGCGCAAGCGCCTGCGCAGCCTGTGCGGGCTCCAGGCCAGCGACACATAATTATTGGTATCAATCTTTAAACTAGTAATGCTTATAATGTACGCGAGTAGTACAAATTTTAATAAAACACTTATAAGGGTTTAAAACGCGAAATATAATTAGATAAATTATTTTAACTGCGACCAGACGTTTTCGATACCGACGGCGTTATAAGTGTTCTTTTAAACCTTTGAAGAATAAATTTAACTAGAGGTGACTATTTCTCTACGTGTGCCAGTTGTACCACCCTTAACAATTAACAACTTTTTAGGTCTTGCAGTTCTTGCACTCTTCGCAACCCGATGTCGGCAAGTCTATGTCTTGCCTGTAAGACGCCACCAGTACCGAAGCATGCCGTGCCTACTGATAACCATGTCGTTGCTGGTAAGATGGTTTTGATATTTTTTACGGAATCATATTTGTTACTCTTATAAGTTAGATCTACTTTTATCAATATATGTTATACATGAGTATTATATGGGTGACCTTTTATGTAAAAGTAACGTTTTTAACTTCTTCAGCCGGTCGTAGCCCATCCCCGCGTCGTGGGCCGCGCCATACACCGGCTCTGCCCAGACGTGGCTCCAGACATAAAACACCACCACCAGAAACCAAGTAAGTAACACCGTTACTTACAATATCTTCGTATAATTAGGGACCTATTTTCAATCTAGAAAGATGTATGAATGATAAAGAATATTATTATAGGTTTCTGAATTTTTGAATAAGGCTAGGACCGACCACGATCCCGACCTAATGCTTTTTTGACCACATATGAATAATGTTGGCCACACTCAAATATCAAAGGTTTTATTTGATTTTGTTGTGATTTCAGAACAGAGACAACAGAGTGGGCGTGTTCTGAATGTACGTTTATGAATAACATGGCTGCCATGTCATGCGAGATGTGCCAGTCCCCGAAGACCAGACTTCTGCCTGCTGCTCCAGATCAGCCAAGTTTAGACGATGACGATTCACGTATGTATTTACATATATACAAACAACTTGCAAAAATTGTGGGGTAATATTGAGAATAAAAAATATATATAAATATTGAGCCAAATTTTGTATAGTACATAAGAGAACGATTACTACAGTCTATTCTTTTATTTTTTGTCAATCACAATACATAGCTAATTTGATATAAATGATTTCGATAGCAGAAGGTTCGGACGGAGAGAGACAAGAGAGCACCCCAATGGAGATACTCCGACTCAGAGAGGAGAGCCACGCTTGGACGCAGTGGCAGGAGGTGCTGGCGCAGTGTGCTGCGGTGAGGAATTTCTTTAACAAAATTAAATGTTTAAAGGATAGGGACAAGCAAAAATACTTCTACACAATTGAGTGTCCTCACGAATTTAGGCAGGCAGACATAAATTTTGGTGAGATTTCTGTGTCCTGAACTGAGATTATGTATATGTCACTATAAAGATACCATACTTTTTTGTAAACTATCGGTAAGTTGAGTCCTGCCTGTTAAGTTTTTTTTAATTTGCTTCATTATTTCGCATTAAGACTGGCGAGATGTATGTTGATGAATCGTTCCCTGCATCCGGCCGGTCTCTGTACTACGGCGGAGCCGGTGAGAGCGGGGCTGCCGCTCGTTGGCTTCGTCCTCACCAGATTCACGTTGATGCGGATCATCGTCTACCTTGGGCTGTCTTTCGCGACCCCAGGCCCTCGGACATCTCCCAGGGTAAGTTTTGTCGGCCTGGTTGCCTTAAGCTCCTCTATTGTGTGTGCCTGTTTTAAATTATATATAATTTATTATAACGCAGGTGTGTTGGGTAACTGCTGGCTGCTTTCCGCCCTGGCCGTACTTGCTGAACGGTCAGCGCTGGTTCGCAGTGTGGTGGTCCGCGCTGAACCTGAACGTGGCGCTTATCAGCTGCGGCTGTGCAAAGATGGCCGATGGCTGACCATTACTTTGGATGATCAACTGCCGTGCAATAAAAAGGGACATCTTGTCTATTCACAGGTTGGTTAAGGTTCTTATTATATTAAAATCATTGCTTATGTACAATATTCGCAGTTAGAAATTAGAACCTGGTAACTGCGAATATTGTAAATTGTGTAAGACGTTCACGGCCAACGTTCAGCATATCATTGTCTTTCGAGCGAGAAGATCACGCTCACATCGGCCGAACAGCCCGAAAGACAATGATATGCGAATATTGTACTTTGTTAATATTAGTTAACAAACAAACAAACAAAAAATACTTTATTTTCACCACAATGTTACAAAATGAAACTTATTTAAAAACCAAAATGTAGCGAGAAAAGGCCTTATCGCTAAAAAGCGATTTCTTCCAGGCAACCTTGAAGATGGAGATTTACAATAATAATAAGGGTAACACTACAGCAATAATACGTTTATACAATACTAATTATGTTTTTAAAGTTTGACTTAATAATTAAAATAATTTACCTAATCAAATGTGTAAACCTAATTCTAAAGTCTTTTTTAACGATAACAAATGCTATGTCCCTGATATAATATTTTTATTACTATTATTTAGTAATGCTTACATTATTTTTGTATAGACACTGGTATGGATTTTTTTTATATATTTGCCGTAATTATACCAAACTTCAGGCCAAAAGAAAGCAGTTGTGGGTGCCGCTGATCGAGAAAGCTGTGGCTAAGCTCCATGGGTGTTATGAAGCTCTGGTCTCCGGGCGAGCTATTGAAGGTATGGCTATTTACTTTAACTCTGGCTTTAGACTAAAATAGAACTAACTAATAAAAAACAAACATATTAGCGCTAAAAAATAATGAGTTTCTTGGGAAAATGATTGTTAACCTTTTTAGGGACTGCAAGTTTAAATAAATTTAGACTTACTTTTGACTTTGTACCAATTGAGAAGTTAATATCTGAAACATTATCATCTCGTGCAAGGAAATATATGCATCGTCTACATTACCAGGCTTTTAATATCCCAAGGTCTCTGTACGTTGACGGGAGCACCATGCGAGTCGGTGTCACTCCAGGCTGGAGGAGCCGGTGGTGGCGCAGGGGGCGGAGCACCTCTTGAACAGTTGGACAGAGACCTTGTCTGGGCTCAACTTTTATCTTCGAGGCAGGCGTGCTTCTTGATGGGTGCTAGTTGCGGTGGGGGCAATATGAAGGTACAATGTTGTTAACTTGTTCGATACTAAAGACTATATATTATGTATTATCAAATTAAGTAAGATTAACCTATAACACAAGCATGCCAAATATGAACAATCTTTCCCATATTTCTAGGTGGATGAAGAAGAGTACCAGCGCTTGGGCCTCCGTCCTCGTCATGCTTACTCCGTCCTCGACGTGGTTGAACTGGCGGACAGCAACCCACCAGTTCGGCTGTTGCGTCTGCGTAACCCATGGGGCCACTACACGTGGCGTGGACCTTGGGCCCACGGTTGCCCACGATGGACGGAGCACGTTCGTAGACAACTTCCGGTCTGCACCGCTGATAGGGACCAGGGCGTGTTTTGGATCAGCTTTGAGGATGTGCTTAAGTAAGTGATTTATACAAGGGTTTCGATTTTTCTTGTGTAGAGATTTTATCAGAAAATTACCAAAATATGTTAAAGAAGGAAGATCTATTATAGATGGAGACCTTTACCCATAGGTTGTATTCTAAAAAAGCTCTTTTGATGATTATATGATTGTAGTTTACAGATTTTAGTACAAACTCTACAACTAAACGTGTAGGACAGTTCCTACACTAAGGCTAACTTTGCCGCCACTAATCATGGGCGCCGCACTGAAACTCGAAGCGTGCCGTAACAATGACCGTTCCGGCCTGTCAGTTCATGTCACGTACTAATAAAATGAGCTTGTTTGGTTGTCAATTTAAATCTTTAAACAAAACAACGTGACTTGATTCGCAATTCTACGACTAGGTTTTTGTTTCTCGTTCCAGATACTTCGACTGCATAGACATTTGCAAGGTGCGAGCGGGATGGCACGAGGTCCGTCTCGCTGGTATCCTGCCCCCGATGTCGTCAACGCGACACCTTACCTGCCTCTTACTCACTGCCACTCAGCCGACGGAAGTCGACTTTACTTTATTCCAAGAAGGACAAAGGTTAGTCACACCCGAGAAGGCAGTTTCCGAGACCGTAGTTTTATTTTTATTTGTAATATCTTTAGGATATCTCTACTTTTTTAACTCACTTTATTTTTCTACAGAAATTCTGCTAAAAGTCAACGCTCTCAATTAGATTTGTGTGTTGTCGTGTTCCGAACGAAATCCGGTCCAAGCGCACAAGTCGGCAAACTTGTTGCGCACAGCAAGCGACAGGTAGTTCATACAAATATTAATAATCACAATATGTACTTTTGTTAGATTTTAGTAACTCCTATAAAAATCCACTTTTAAATTGATAATGTGGAATATTTTCAAAAAATATTGTCGTTTAAGGTATCTACTAGCTGCGCCCGCGACTTCATTCGCGAAGAATAGTTATTTTGGACATAAATTTGTTTTTGCAAACCTTCTCATTTTTTTAATTATAATTGTTACCCTCCACGTCGACCGTATTTCGTTGTTATTTTAAGATCAGCGTCACTGTCGCGGACATTTTTTTAGGGCATCTTAAGATGATGAGATTTGCGCGTTCAGACGAGCAAACTTTTCAGTTTTACAATATTAGTATAGATTTTGTTGGTTTATCCAGAGACATGTTATTTTCATATACAAAAAGTCCAGTAAAATAATTTAAACTTATTTCTCTCAGGTCCGCGGTTTCGTAGGCTGTCACAAGATGCTGGAGAAGGGATTCTATTTGGTGGTCTGCCTCGCTTTCAACCATTGGCATACGGGATTAGAACTGGCTGACAGCTCACTCTGGCCACGTCATGTACTCGCTGCTCATTCCTCGAAGCCATTAGCTGTGGAGCGACCTTCTCTTCACCCCCACATACTAGCGGATGCCATTATTGGTCTCACACTGGCCCGTGGGCAGAGACACGAAGGGCGTCAAGGAATGACAGCTTATTATTTAACTAAGGTACTTTTTTTATCATAGAGATGGATAGATGAACTCGGGTTTCACTTCATGGAAGGTGAAATGCCGCAGCCGTATAGCATTTCAAAATGATGCCTCCGAATATCCAAAGCCATCCATTGGCTTTTTAGTTAATCCACAGCTTGAAACCGAAACGCGATTAAAATTTTACATTTTTACCCACGGTTGGTTCCTGACCCGGACGGAATTTTGTTATTCCGATTCAGATTTCCAAACGTAGTCCGACGATGTTTCATAAAAGTGTAAATAGATTAGAAACATGTTAAATAGTGGTTGGGATCGAAACCACGACCAGAGACATAAGTACTTTGAGACCAATGAGTCTGTCGAAAAAACATCTCTATGTTTTGTTCCTCACGCAAATACAAACAATAACAATAATTGAAATACTAAACATAGGTCTGTGACAAAGGTTTACCAGGAGAATAGTTAAAAAATGTTTGTAATTAAAATTGTGTTTTAGGGTTGGGCCGGCCTAGTAGTGATGGTGGAGAACAGACACACGGACAAGTGGATCCACGTCAAGTGTGACTGTCAGGAGAGCTACAATGTCGTCTCCACTCGTGGAGAGCTTAAGACCATTGATTCTGTCCCACCGCTGCATAGGTATTCATATTATTTTTAAACTACTTTCTTTTTACAAATAAAAAGAAATATGTTCTTGTTTCTTACAGCATAACAATTAGTAACTTCGTTTACCAGATATTAATATATAGATTATCCTTGGTTTCAGACAAGTTATAATAGTACTGACCCAACTAGAAGGCAGTGGGGGGTTCTCAATAGCTCATCGTCTGACCCATCGGCTGGCTGCTGGTGGGCGGCTACAGGATTGGGCACCCAGGGCGGATGACGAACCGGCTAACCATCCCCACCATCGTCCGCCCATCGCGAGGAGGCTTTTGGGTTTGCACGCACCGAGATTGATTACGTAGAGCGGCTACCATTGTTAATCAAATCTTAAGACTTTGTACGATTTTGAATGTTCTGTTGTAATAAAAAATGGCACATTACGCTTAACGCATAAACTCATAGCTTGTGCTATTGAAGGCCTAAAATAAAAACTATGAATGTGACGTCACAGCGCTAATTGCTATATATCCGTACCACAAACCAAGTTAATTTGGGAGAAGAACGTCATTGGCAACATAAATAAACCTCCACCAAATCAACGTTAGTTCAATAGATGTCAAACCAGGTAACTTGGTTGTTAACATAATCAAGTCTCAAAAATAATTTTATGAATAGGCCTGTATTCTTTAAAGCCAAGTTTCTCTCATGGTTTTAATCTTTGAAGCTTAAATTAATACAGTATTGGAATTTTGGCTAAGATCTGATTGGACTTTAAATTTTTTCAGGATGAACTTTAAAAGACAGCACACCTTGCGAGTGTTGTATGTTTGTAATGACCGAGTTATATCTATTTAACTTATTTAATTAAAGTCTTTCTAATGCTACTAAAATTGTTATACCTAAAACAATGGAAGGATCGATTAGGCTAAAAATATTGACAAGGCATCGTCGGCAATCGCTGAAGAAGAATTGCTTTATCTTTAACAGTACATAAGGTATTATAAAAGTAGTAATTTGAAACGTTTTTTACAAGTGTGAATATCGATTATGGCAATTTTTATTAACATAGTGTAAGATCTGACTCAAAAAAGTTATTTTTCGAAATCAATGTAGGTTGTTCTTAACTAGTTATTTTGAGTCAGATATTAAACTATCGTTTGGCAACCTTTGTAAAATTGGCCGTGATATTAATAGAGGTAGATTAGTTAAGACTGTACACAATTGTGTAAAGTAGGTGTGTTCATTGCGAATACTGTTTATATATACTTAGATTGTAGTCTAAGAGACGGAGTTAATACTTTGGTTATTAGTTGCCTGAGATTAGTATCACATGAATGAGATTTGATTGTTAGATTTTCGATTTGAAATAAAATTGGGTTGAGTTTTTGAATTCGTTTGTTGTGGTTGACTTTTTGACGTTTTATATTTAAAAAATAATTGTACGTGTAGTTTATTAGTGTAGTGTAGTTTTGATTTTACTACATTTTTTTTTTCACTAAAACAGTGACATTGTTATATCGTTATTTGTTTAGACTATTTTACCAGTATTCACCATTGAATAAGATTCGTATTATACATGACATAACAAGACATCTATATATCCATATTTAATCTATTTTACGAATTTACGATGCGTAAATATTTTTATAACACACGATCTTGTTTCGTGATTACGCTTATTGAAAAATACCACCGACTCTTAGTCTATATGGTAAAATGCCGCTTACCTAGTCTTGAATCTTATGCTAAAAAAATATGTTTAAATAATATACAGAACTTTTATTTCGCCTATATTTGTTAATTTAATTGGAGGCATTTATTTTATGTGATCGGAAAGACGTATATTTGTGATTTCATTCCATTAATACTCATTAAATCATAATTAATTTATGACAGTTCTTGCCATTATTTTAAAATCGTACAACGATTATTTTATTAGATATTTTTTGGGCCTATCGCGTGTGCAATATTTGAAAGCGTATTTTGTATATTCCCTGTACATATTGGGGCATTTTGAAATGTCGAAGAGTGTTCTAAGCCACGTACTTTTATTTCATATCGCGATGTATAATTGATATTGTAACCATAATAGGGTTTATTAAATGCCCTTCTATGTACACCTAGCACAATAATCGCACATATTTTTGAATCAATAATATTAGACATGATAGAGACGGGATGTATAAGTCGAACGATTTTGTAACTTATTTTTATGTGGGTAGATACTAAATCACTACCGCGGTTAGATCGGTGGCACACTCACTGTAAAAATCATTTTGTCTGGTCGTCTGAGGTGGCGAAGGTTCTCGACGAGGTTCTTGTCATTTTCTTAAAAATGTTTATAGCGATCTACGTCTTATGTGCGTTAATTTAAACACTAGAATCTCACGAATTCATCGCCGCTTAGACGAACACAGAGAATCATTAGAATAGCACGTAGAGTGTGATCGTAATAATAATACTTTTGTAAACAAGTGTTAATAGAATTTTCTCGAATGTTATTTTTATCACTATTGAATAAGATATTATCTGTCGTGCCATAGTGTAAACTCTTTGCTCTATCGGTAGTGTCAATTTTGAATTCGGAACGTGTCGCACGCCCTCTGTTCGTGTCTGAGTGAACCACAGAGCAAAGAACATTTTTCTACTCAAATGTTTTGATATCACGTTTTGATTTAAACTTTTCGATGTAAGTTGTTTTGTAGTGATATGACGCTTATTTTACGTGTTAGATGATACATGAATGCATGTTATATCGTATAAGGGAATAAAATTATTTAAATTTGACGTATCTTATTTCGTTTGTCCCACGCTTCTATTAAACTTGAGCAATTTCTGTCTTAAATTATCCTTATATGAAGAAGCAGTTTACTAAATAAAAAACAATACAGACAGTTATATTTAGGACTATATTCCTAACGAATTCGACTTATAACTAGGTCTTCAAAATCAGTTCATTACTTGGAATTTACCAGGATTTTGCTGCAGAGTGAAAGATTGAAGCATTGTATAGGGCTTTCATGCTGAAAAAATAGTACAGTAGAAAAGTTAATTTCCACGTGTCTGTCGACGGCTGTCGGAAGTGAAGCGGAGCTATCAACCAGTAATTTCCGACTGCGTGATCTTTGCTCTTATTTCACAGATACGCAATCCTAGAAGTGATTGTTTGGGAAGAAGTTATCTTGTTTTGGTAAATAGATGATAGTTTTTTAATTTAAAATCTTTAATGCCACCTTAATGTCATTAATTATAATAAATAATGAAAGTCAGGTGGAATCAAAGATTTTTACAACCTGACTCCTACAATCCTATTTAATAATACTCAGCCAATAGTCGTAACATTTATAATGTTCAATAAAAGAAAATATAATATTCATCTTAGGGTGTTAATTAATTCGAATCGAAAACGAAATCTCTTTTTCAAAACCAAAGCACGTTTTGTACCTATGACAAAAAAGTTGTATTTTTTATATATAATCGATTTTTATTTTATGTAAGGGGAACTACATAAAATATAAATGTGAACAAAAATTTAAATTAAAAAAAAATTGTTAATTTCTTTTACATTTTGACGTTCCTATGACACGACTGCGGTTCGAACCTACGACTACAGCGTACCGCGTTGAATTGAAGATTGAAAGTTAAAAATGTCATATAGCGAAATCCAGTATACTATATTAATGTTCTCTGCTTCTGTTGCTTTTGCTCATTGTAAGCTGAGAATTTCATCTCGAGTGGGAAATTGTGCAGTTTTAGAGGCAATAGTTGCGATCAAATATGCAAATTTCTGTAAAATTTCCACAGTCTAATAAAAAGTGACATTTTCATATTTCGCATATCTACAGCACTTCCTTGTCTCAATCAATATTAGTTTCTTATTTCTTTCAAAGAAAATAGGATGTAAATTATTTTGAAGGGCTCCGCTGTTACATTTTAGTCACGTTTCGATGAACAATCCCAATGGACTCTTACCCGAATCCGAAATAATCCGAGATGGTACGTCATTCCTTATCGTGGAATCCGCAATATGATATATTCAATTTATAGAAAAATGTTCAGGGCTCATATAATGTTACGGTGCTGCTCAGAAAGTAAACACAATTTTAGCAAGTGAGGTTTTTGGTAGGTACGGGTAACTTATCGTCTTATTAGGTGAAATGTACGAGCTCTATTATTTTTGTTCCAAGAAATCAGTATGTATTTCGTAACGCAATGGTTTCAATGTACAATTTATTTAAATACACTCCCCATTTGTCACCTGACTTAAGAACTGGTCTATTATTTATGGGGCGAACACATTTCTGTGTCCGTTTCACTAATCCATTCTTTAACAGGCAAGTAGTTGATCAGACTTCTGTGCCCCGCCTGACCGAAACAATTTTTTGTTTCCCTAGGATTCGAACCCAGGACGTCTCGCTCTTAACGCAATGATAGGCAATACGGTTAACCATTTGGCTTCAGAGGCGGTCCTATTGTTTATAGAGATTTTAAATTTAGTTCACTTCACATCTTTATGTTCTTTATTTGTATTTAGTTTAGCAATAGATATAATTAGTATTGTAGTCTTAACCGTGTGCCTATTTAATTATATTTGTATATGACTCTGTGTAATTGACATATACCTATGTAAAAAGTATAAAAAAGCATGTAACTTAATAATTATATTATTAGACGCGTATATGTAAATTGGACCGACGTCTTGCTGAATCAAGTTTTGCACTAATTAAATACCACTGAAGTTATAGCAGCGAGTACTTAGTTTGTTCAACGGTCAGCTGTTGGTGTCATCTCTCGCTGCACTTAAGATGAGGAGCAAAGTAATTAGGACGTGGTACAGCACGTTAACATTGTGAAATAAGGGTATGTTTGCGAAATATCGTGTAATTAGGCAAGGAGCTTATTAAAATGTTTTTTTTTGCGTCTGAAGTAGAAACAATTTATAATTGTTTAACCTTTTTTAACATATTGATTTGGGTCTATTCTATTAATTGTTTTAAACAAGCCGGAGAGTTACAGACGACAATGGGTTGCCTTAAATGTATGTACCTAATAAAAAATATATTTATGATAAATACGAGTAAATGTATAACTTTTACTGTCTGTAGTTTAAGCGAGTTGTACACATTTAAATAACACAATTTAACGGTTTAAAACTCGTGGTAATGGGAAGACTATTCGCAACCACGGCTGCAAAGCATCCGAAACTTCTGGCCGTAGTTAAAAATAATTTTGTAATAAGTTTAACTAATACATATCGCGTTAAACTGTTAAAGTGTTTAATTTATAAGATAATATACTGATACTGTTTTATGAATTTAACTACTTACAATATGTTTCTTATCTTATTAAAAAACGCTTATCGCTATGCGTAAAAATAGAACAACCCTAAGCTGTAGACTTGTCTGCTTGCTGTTAATAAAACTCTTGTTTCGTGCCGCGGCCATTGTTCCTATTTTGTCTCGTCTCCCTTGTTAACATGCGCAATAAGGAATTCTTGTTCAGCGTGAAAACAGAGGGAAATTAAAATTTATACGAATATATATAAAGTTAACTCCCGGTTTCTCCCGTGGGGCATGGGGTGAACACATTTAAAAGTCCGTGTCACTGATCTGTTTTATATCTAAGAAGTAAGAGACAATTATTATTTTTCCAGGGATTCAAACCTCGGATCTCTGGCGCTTAATAGAATGCTAGTTAATATGTTCAATCATTTATATACAGAGACAGTTAATATACGAATAATTATACTCGTGAAATACTGTATATATAGTTTACGCGAGTAGTACACAATTAAATAGAACACTTTAACGGTTTACAACGCGATATATTAGTTAAACTTATTTGAAAATGATATTTAATTTAAGACCGACGTTTCGGATGCTTTGCAGCAGCCGTGGTCACGCCGTTAAACTACATACGATATTGGCATAATGTGTAGCTATTGTGAGTCTACTAAATACCAAAAATTTTATTTGGTCAAGAAATATTTTTTGATGGGCTTGTTCTTTTAATGGTAACAATGGACCGTGGTCGCAGGGTCCATCCTCAATGTGTCCAACATTTACCCATTCAATTTATATATTTTCTGAAACTTGTTGGCCTCCGTCCGGAAATATGGATATTAAACGGATGGTAGAATATTGATATTCTGACTGGGTCACGAACCACCGTCCACGTACGAAAAAGCCGTAAAGTTTAATAGCATTTCAGTTACAATTTGTGGATTTCAACATATCATCCTATATATCATATTTATTTAAATCTCCTATGTTATATTATTTGTCCTCCTCATAAAAAAAGGTTCTTGTGGAAATTAAACACCTGCTATTAAACACTATATTCGAAACAACATAATTTTTTGCCTATTAATTAATAAAAATTTCATTTGGTAAGATTTCAATCAGCGTAAAATGGGGGTAGATCCGCAAATTAAACACGCTCTGTTGGGCCCGACATGCACGTCGTCGCACTGATTCTATTCCCATCTCCAATATTTACTCAAGCAATAGTCAGCGATCAAACAATAAAAAGAAGCGATCTTACTTGTTTTTATTGTTTTATTTTATAGTATTACCGGTACTATCCGCTTCCGTCAAAGAAAGATTACATCTTTGAGTAACATGTAATAAGTTACAAATTGTTAATAAACCTGAGTTTTGGCATTTGATATATTGCTCTGCTTCAATCTATCTTACCTAATATAAAAAGGTCGAAGGCTCACAAAACATCAAATTATTTTTAATCAATATGTTTCAGGTAAGTATTTTGATTCCACTTAATAAATAACGTTCCAAATTGATCTGGTCGTCATATTTTAGCCCCAAAAATAAATCTAAATTCTTTATTCATTCTTTTGTTTGAATGCGCTAATAATGATTATTATCTTAGACCAGTATCCAGGAAGCTCCTAATATAGGCTATAAAAAAAAAAATTGCGCTGTGTGTAACAGCGGGAAATGTGGAAAAAAGGGGGAAATTATTATTTTTTGTGGGTTTTCCGAGTGTGGGTGCTGCTAAAACGTTTTAAGATACCCAAAAATGTCCGCGGCAGTACAAGTCTATCTTTAAAGATTAACTTGCAAGAACGACGGGATGCGAATGACGTCGTAACAGCGTAAATTTAGAAAGTAGGGTCACTATAAGTATTCTATGTGTGAGGTCATTCATAGCTACTATCTGAATAAAAAGAAGAGACAAATTTTTATCATTTTATTAAAAAACATAAAAATTCTTAACACAATCTGTAAAATACTAGTTATATTTACAATATATAAAACAAGATAACAATTAAATAATGAGACATTAAACGACTATTTCTTTAGTGAATTAAATTAAATTAGGAACATTTTGTGCACTTATAAGATACGTATAATTAAATTATTTTTTTGCGAATGGACGATGTCTTTGATGTGAAAGGCCTCAATTATAAATTTTTAAGTATATTTTTATAATTGTTTTTAATAACTTGTGCCAATTAATATTTTAAAGCAATGAAGTTTTGTCTCTAATGAGAAAGCTGATTAGTTCAGTTTGTAGTTTTTTAACTTGAACTTTAGAACAAAGATAAAACTAATAACTAAACAATAATTTCGGAAGTAGACTGTATTACAATGCATGAATTAAAAGTTGATGATGATGATGAAAAAGATGAAGGTACTTTATAAAAAGTGTTGTTCAAAGAGGCGTTCTCTCAAATAATTATCCAAAGTACTGCGGACCATGCTGATAATCTCCGCGTCGATCTATGAGGACCAGCTGGGCTGTCTTGGCTGGGTACCCGTGGTGGTAAACCCATTTCTTACCACTTTTCTTGTCACCACTTACATGGCGCTGCTTGTCACCATGAGCGTGGTGGTTGTGGCCGCCGGCTGCTCGGTGGCCCTGAAGAAAAGAGTATAATAAAGAATGCTTGTATGCATGAAATGCAGGAAAGCATGAATGTAGTTGACGAGTTTTGACGCGAGGTTTCCTACGTTCAAACCTCAACGAATAAAGCTTTCGACAAGACTTTCGTATAGAATAATCAAAAGAGGGTATGTCAAGTGACATAACCCCACGACAGAGAAATATCCCGAGGTGGTTATATTTTCGTTTCAAGCTGACTAATTGAATTTACCTTTTGCAGTTGATGATGGCCGTCCTTAAGGAAATGTCCTGTCTCACCCTTCGACTGACCTTTGTGGGCCGCTTCTAAATTGGATTTCTTGTAGTGACCGCCCTGTAAGTTTAATTAAGGATTATTTAAATTTAATTCACTGATTTTTCACGAAAACGGATCGAAAAATTTGAAAATTTGTTTTAAACTAATTTCACATGCATACAATGCTTGGAGAAATCCGCTCTGACAAGATACAATTATATTACACTCAAAATACGTGAAGACTGTATAAAAAACTTGACGAATTCTTCTCGTTCGTTCTGCGCCATTGATTTAAGACAATTCAATCAAAATTTGGAGTCTTTAGTTTTTAACTGACGTGACGTTCATAAGTGTAACTACATAGATTAAATGACTTTTGACTTTGTTTAACTCGATTCCTAGCCAAACAATATAACGTAAAGATAATTTTCATGTGATTGAAACTATATTTTTATAAAAAGATAGATCCTCCCACAGTGGGCAACAAAGTGTAACGACTTGCATAAAATGTTCTAATTAAAAATCTCTTTGACATTCACAATGTCTCGAAGCCGAGGGATAAATGAATAAAGTAATAAATAGAAAAACTTGTTTTAATTAAGTTGATAGTTGGTGCCGCAAGTGGCCGCTGGTGCCCTCTGGCGGCCATATTTTAATATAACTTTGCTTAATTATGCGCTTCTTTGAATAACTTGTTATAGTTCACTTTCGTATGACGTTAAACACATTTAGTGGTGGCTGGCGGAGCGAGACTCTTTACTCAATTTGAGATAAATACGTAAATAGACGTGATATTAATTATGAAAATGTATTGTGATATTTGTATTTTAAGCCCGATTTTGTAGGAAAACTTTTGAAATCATTTCTTTTTCTATCTTTCTCTCTGGACATCACACCCATGCTTCTGGTAGAGGTTAACATCAAATGCCTAAGGCCAGTCAACAATGACAGACATTTATTAGAAAAAAAAGATATTTAAGATAAGCATTTGAGGAAAAATAACGATTAATTGATTCATTGTTCCACTAAACACTTAAACATAGTTCTAAATTGCCACTAAAAGGCCGTTTAGATACGCTTTCCTCATAGAGATCGTGGTCTATCACCCGACCTTTGTCGTTTAATGCTTTGAAACAACTTAAATTGATTTTGCTTTTTACGTCTCTTACGACACCTCATTTCAATAGACTTATATTGTACAACACTTTGAATGAGGGTAAATACCCTAATTTTGCAAGATGATAGATTGCTTTGAATGGTTTTAACTTCGTACCTAATTTACCTTATATTTATATATTTAGATGATAAACCGACGTCAAACGAACACGATTTTGGTTATTATTATTAAATAATTTTTACTTTACTAAAACAATATTAGTATTACCTCGTAATTTATTTCTTGATTTTAGCTTGAAGGTCGTTAATTTTGGTAATATTTTTTTCATATGTATTCATTTGTTTATATAATATAATGATATAAGTTTCTTTTCTTTGGAAGGTACATGTTTAAATAAAACACTTTAACGGTTTAAAACGCGATATATTAGTTAAACTTATTAAAAAATGATTTTTAACTTCGGAGGGGAGACACGGCTGCTGCAAAGCATCTGAAACGTCGGGCCGAAGTTAAAAATCATTTCCAAATAAGTTTAACTAATATATCGCGTTTTAAACCGTTAGAGTGTTTTATTTAAATGTGTACTACTCGCGCAAATTATAGACAGTATTTAAGGTACATGTTAAAAACTTTTAATAGAAGTCAATTATTTAACTCATTTATAATTCTACTTCTTTACGAAATATCGTCTAGTCTTTGAAATATCTAGTATTCCTCCAGATTCTAGAACTTGACAGTCGCGAGCAATGACCGAGGTATGGAAATCTTTTCGCTCGAGTGGTCAGATCGTTTACTTGTTGAACCGTGACTGTAAACATCAAAATAATGAATTAATTTCGATATCTACTAGAGGTGAAGGTCGGAAGTTTTTGAAGGTAGCATAAAATTTAATCCGTATCTATGACTGAGACGTCAACTGTTGCCTTATACTGACACAACCTGGATTCTAATACAAGAAAAAGAGAACGGCAGAAGAACAATGGCCCTTGCACAACCATCGCAATGCCATATTAATGTTTTGTCAAAGAATTTGATCAACTAAAAATCGATTCACACAAACAAAATCGAAACACCTGCCCGTATCATATATATATTTTTTTTTCAATAAAATAAAATATAGTTTTTGCTAGGAGCTCGGTTCACATTTGGTAACCGAATTTCTAAGTTTGCGATAAGTAAGTAAGTGTTCGGCTAGAGTTCGGTTTCGATTCAATCCACATTGGCCCAGTCTCTATCATATAGCTTTAAGCTTTTTAGATACATGGGCTATCTAAGAGTGTGAAACAAATTAAAATTAGTTATCTTTTGAGATAGTCCATCAGACAATTCTTTAGCTACATATTCTAGTATAGATATATTCTAAACATTGCTTACCGAAGAATGTTCTTTCTCACTATGATGTCCACCAAACTTCTCTTCTTCGTCAGAATCGCCCTCTTCTTCGAAGAACTCTACTTTCTTCTCATACTCTTCTTTCTTGTGAATATCATGGCTTCCCTTCGTGCTATGTCCTTTCGAATGTTTTCCAGATTCCTCGTACTATATTTAATTTAAAGAATTATTAAGTTTTTATATTTAAATCGATGTGAAGTGTTACGGTTTTGTTATTTTTATCTATAATGTTATATTCGAGACTATATCTAGAATGCTAGACTATGACCTGACTAGTTTAATGAATCTATATTGTATGCGATTCACACATATGAAAACATTTTAAATCCATTTAAAACACTTACTCTCAATTAAATAATGTATAACTACGACCTGACATTATGGTTACAGTAGTGCTCATGGCACAGCATTTTCTTACACTACACTAGTGTTCTGTCTATCTGTGCAATAGCCTGTCTACGCACTAAATTATATTCAGCACCTACTTTAGCATGTTTTTTTCCATGTTCCTCGTGATGATGGTCCCCATAATGTTCTTTCTCGTCATGGTGATGCTTATCTATACCTCCATGGTCTTTATACTTCTTGTGGTGGTCTTCTTTGTCGTGATGACCTTTGCTGGTCTTCGTGTCTTCGTGGAGACCCTGAGAAGGATGTCAGTATGAATTTATGGCGAGTATTTTACTGTTGTATTTTAAGTTATAACGGAGGTTATGCATTTAATTAATACAAAGGTTAGGTTCATAAGAAGTGCATAACTTATTTATTTTTGCGTTTATCACTTACAAGTTTACAAGTTACTTAGGTTATAATAAGGTAGTTTAGTTAAAAGTAATATATCTGTTTTGACCACAATATGTCAACTGCTTAAGATTTTTGCATCCACTTTGCAAAGCTTCATAGGTTTTCGAGGTATTCGCTCTCGTCTGATGCCTGGCATCATCAGAAGATGTTGCAGTACGCATAATGCGAAATCCCCAGTAGGGGATATGTATCTGTATGTCTGTGTTATAAAATTAATCTCTTAATCTGGTGTAATCATGCACCTTTATACACTAAACAGCAGTGTCGTTTTCTGAATATATTATGCACATATTTTACATTCAATGATGTCAGATAATATTATGTAAATTCATCCGAGGCAGCTATTGGGCTCGTCGCCCTACACATCAGAGTTCTAAGATTCAAATTAGTTAAACGGAGTCCGAGTTCCATGAGCGAACCAAATTATTAACCGCATAATTGACTTGTTAACTTCACTAACTATCCACTACTATTTCTTCTCGATTCTTGAAACTCGAAAAGTTTTTTTATTTTTAGAGCTAATTATTATGAATGGATTATATTTTTCTGTTGATAAAAAATGTATTTGATAGCCATTGAATTACGTCCTTATTATCAATAAATTGTTTATTTGTGGGAACCTAATTACGTAAATGAAACTTTTGCGTAAAGTGAAATTTAGTAGTAGGGTTCGCGTCGAGTACGCCTGTAAGGGCTAATTTAAATAATGTTTTCAAATTAAAATGGATAAGGCGGAAGCTGTTCGCCGAACACGTTTCGTACTAATTATATATTATCTGATAGCATGAATGCAATTTCGCATTGAAACAAAAAAAAATAATCAAATCCAAAGCTCATTGCGAAATTATAGCCTGTAGTGTGCTAAAAATTCTTACTTACGAACTGTTCATAGAAAAGCAGCGAAAGAAGAAATTCACAGATTCGATATCCCAGACTGTGAATCTCCAAATATTTAAAGCAAAATTAGGTCAACGCTACATCAAAAATGGGCGTGGCAACCCTCTTTACGCTATGGTGCTTCTGTGTCCTTTTCTGTCATAAGAAAAATCAAGACTATCTTCTCTTCTATTATCACTACATGTATAAAACAAAGTAGCTTTTTCTGTCCCTATGTACGCTTAAATTTTTAAAACTACGCAACAGATTTTCACGTGGTTTTCAATAGATAGAGTGATACAAGAGGAAATTTTTATATACAATGTTCACAGTTTTTCCGTAGTATATTTAGTATCAGCACTGCACCCGAGAGAGCCGGGCGGAACGCTAGCTCAACCATAAATCTTTACATTTGTTTCAATCAAGGTGATCTAAAACAGATGATGTCAGCAACTTAGAACAATAGCCAGATCAGAAGATTTGATGAATAAATCTAAACAAAACACAATGGCACAAAACTAAACTGAAATAATAACATCCTATACAATAGCTATTCTTATTATATGGACGTTAAGAACACGAACAATCTAATTTTGACAACATAAGACATATGTAAATATTTTTTGTATACTAAATTTTATTTGTACTCGCTAGAATTGATCTAATACAACCGCAAGCGTTACGAGTTCGTTTAATTAATGCTTATATCATTATAAAACAAAACGTTACAACAAAAATGTGAAATCGGTCATTTTGTTAAAGACATGTTATATTAATGAACAATTAACATAAACTTTTTAAAATAAAAACAATTATAATCGTTATTAACATATAACAATCAATATTAATTCGTTTAAATTAAATATTAGTGCGATGATTATGACAAGTCATACACAAACTTACGTCAAGCTCATACTGCGGTTTCATTTGTCTTTGCAAGAGCTTGATAAAGTATTGTAAAAGAGTGTTTTCGTCCGGTTTCCATGTTTCCAATGTCTGTATCTCTCTAGCTCTCGTCTTGAAAGATATTATCATTTCTTTGACAATAGATCACATTACAAAATTAATTAACAAAATTCAGTTCGAGTTCAGCCTGAGTTTGAATTTATTATTCAGATAACAAAAGGTGTTGTAAATTAACTTATGACAAAGTGTTAGGTCGTTATGTAAAGGTAAGCTTTGTTGTAGTACCTTGAATATTTGATTGTCTTTATTTTCGATGTGTGTTTTAGGTAAGTGTGTTGAAAAATATATTAACAAGATCTCTCATGTAATACGGTATGTTGTTATCTACTTGCTTGCGATTTTAAGAATAAATAAAACCGCTCTTATACACTACATACCCTAATGTAATGTAACTTCTAAAGATACTTTGCATTTGAGAGATTAAAAGCTATTTGTAGCTTACGCGAGAAGTACACATTTAAATAAAACATTTTACAGCTTATAATGCGATATATATTAGTTAAACTTGTTTGAAAATTATTTTAACAACGGCCCGACGTTTCGGTTGCTTTGCAACAGCCGTGGTCACGGGGGGACTGACTAATAAGTTTAACTAATATTAATCATGTTTTAAAGCGTTAAAGTGTTTTGTTTAAAAAAACAATTATAAGCTGGCATTTTAATTTCATGTTTGTAGTTGAAGAATAACACATTTCTTTTCTTCTGCGGATTTGAATTTTTGTGTGATTGATGTATTATAATGAATTATATAAGTTACATAGTCCACAGTTAAGTAATTGGAACTACAATTTAGGCGTAGCTGTAAATATACGTTAGATATCGCGCAAATTGCTTTAATATGTTACCGACGCGTAATGAGATTGCCGGACGTATCATAATCTGTCTGATTAACGTGTTGATATATGACAAAAGCCTAGCTGATAATTCAGTGTTAATTTTGTTTAACATTATTGTGATCTAGTCTACATTTTCATTGAGTAGGTTTTGAATTATTAAAAGTTACAACATAATACTTAGCTTCAGAGATTTTTTAATTTGGAATTTAAAGACTTCGCGTTCTTATCTGTAAGCTTGCAACCAGGCTGTACGTAAAAAAAAAATTAAACAGCTGGGCTCTTGCTATAGCTAAAGAGGTTTACAATTCGATTTGTGATTCGTGATCCAGTCTGATTAGCGATAATTTTAGTACTTTTGTAGTTGTTTCCTAGGCACAAAGAATAGCGGAACCTTTTTAATCCACTGCTACGATGTATTATGATAAAAATGTGAAATAAATCAACTTCGTATACAAGGAATCATTAGGGTGCCCCATGTGGCAATATGAGGTATTGATTTTCCCTATAAACTGATTACGGTAAATCATAAAACCCCATACAGGGTACAGGGTGAAACTGCAGGGAGTCGATATTACAAGCTTGTTATAAGCAAGAACACGCTTCGTTGTTACGCTTATTTGTATCTAAAAATAGCAAAATTTTATTCGCTATTTTGTGATGGGAAATGCGGTGCTAACATAATAAAGAATCGAAATAAGAAATATTTTGACTTCATACTAATCAAAGCAAGAACGACTTGATTCTTTAAAATGAGCAGTAATTTTATATACATAAAACAAACACGGACAAAAAAAACGGTAGTGTATTTCCTATTGTGACTGTATTCAATGATTTTTGTAATCGGAAATAGTTTTTTTTTTATTGAAAAAATTAGAGTTGGCAATAAGACATGCGGTAAAATACGATAAACGGTTTAAAACGCGAAATAACTTAGTTAACATATTCCGTGGTCACTGGGGGCTGAAGAGCATCCAAAATACTGTGTCGTAGTTAGTAAATAAGTTACCTAATATATTTCGTTAACAGTGCTTTTTTAAGTTGTACATTTTATATCGTATTTAAACAATAATTTTAAAGTCTGAGATTATAAACAAAATACATCGATAAAGATAAAAATACTTTTTTTTTATATATTTGAAGATTTTAAATTTTTTATAAATAAATTTTTCGTCGTTCGTCTTAAATCTTGTTACGCACTTTAATAGTATAATTTTTTCTTACCTCGTAAGACTTCTTTCCGTGTTCTTCATGTTCTTCTGAATGCTCGGATTCATGTTTTCGACCGCCGCCTAATAACAAACATAATTCTTTTAGAGATCAAATCACTATACAAAAACATTTTTATCCCAAATACTTTTTACTTAAATACTGTCTATTGTTTACGCGAGTAGTACACATTTAAATAAAACACTTTAACGGTTTAAAACGCGATATATTAGTTAAACTTATTAAAAAAATGATTTTTAACTTCGTCTCCCCGTGACCACGGTTGCTGCAAAGCATCCGAAACGTCGGGCCGAAGTTAAAAATCATTTTTAAATAAGTTTAACTAATATATCGCGTTTTAAACCATTAAAGTGTTTTATTTAAATACTTTTTACTTCTCAATGACTCATGACGCTGCGTAGCGCTGTGGGTTCTTGTTAAAACAGCTTGCGAGTAGCTGACTAGACTTTGGAGGGAATACAGGATTTTACTTATATTAACATAAACATAATATATAAGACGTACTATGTACATACTATTTGAAGATCCTTAACCACTTGATCCGTGACCAAATATTTCGATATTCCTACCGCCACTTACCAACCAAGCTAAGTCTGTCAATTTAAGAAGTCAAAAGTTGATTTACAAACATGCTTGAATCAAACTCACGAGATGCTGGTTACCAACAAAATACATTATTAGTCCACCATTTTTAAAAATTACCAAATTTATTTTCTAAGTATTTGAAGGCCTCTTTAGAATTATTTGCTTATTAACAAGGTCAGTAGATCGAATTAAGAATTTTTAATACTTTCCAAAGATGGTTACACTTTCTTTACGAATATTGGCGTGAAATTTAATTTAATGCTCAACTTTTATGTGACATAATACAATTTAGTTATCAATCATAAAGATTTGAGTAAATATGAACTAACTAACTTGCAGTTGTTTTTATTATGTTACTAACTAAATCTTATTAAAATAAATTTTCCTGTACTATTTTTTTATTTGTTTAATAGAAGCCAGATATGCAAACTCAAACTCAAGACCGCAGGCCTCAACTACCAACTCATAAAGGCGTTGATAATAGGATTAGTTCAACTGTAGACAACTTATAAGAAATTTTCGTGCCTAATAAACCGTGTAAAATATTCAATTTGGATCTTTTATACTTTAAGAATGTCGAGTTTCACTGTTTATTTTTTTTATTGAATAAGATTATTTAATATTGCAGTTCAGTGCAAAAGTTATATAAACGCACAAAATGTCTCAATGTAATGGAGACATTTGATAGATAGATACTGTTTTTTTAGCTGAAATTTATTGCAGTTTGTTTACCGTATACTGAGGAAAGGCAAGATTTTATAAAAAAAATAATAGTTTTATTATCTACAGATTATCTAGGCAATGCGGATATTTTTATTCGAATTGTTTAATTTTGTCATACAGGCTGTAACACCCCTCCATGTTACTAATAGGAGCAAAGAAACAGCAGAAATGTGGAAAAACGAGGTAAATAATTAATCTTAGAGTGTGTCTAATCCGTACGCCGCGAAAACGGTTCAAGATACCTAAAAAATATGTATAATATATATAGAAATAGATAGATGTATGAAAGAATTATTCCTCTTCAGAGAATCTTAAAAAAATATCCGTGACACCAAAGGTCTATCTCTTAGGTTTAACTTGCAAGAACGTCGGGACGGGACCGATGTCTTGATTAACAGCCTAAATTCAGAAAGATAAGGAGGAGGTTTCTAAAAACAAATTTGGATGTCAAAAAAAACTATTCCACGCGGACGAAGTCGCTGACAGCTAGTATTTTATATGGCGTGATAAATGAATTTCAACATCTATTAATGAACATGCATCTTAAAAAACTATTACGAAACCATCACTATACAAGAACAACAAGTTTGAAGTCAGCATGATTCTGGTAACCAGTGAACCAATTCTTAGATTAATTTAACTTGACAATAGGTGAATTTTACGAAAGACGTTTTTACTTGTCCACTATGTCCGTCGTCTATGCATCGCTTCAACGACTACTGGTCGTTGGAGACTGTGTTAAAATAATAAAACTTTGATAATAAAGTTTTAGTTATTTATATATACTTGACTGAAATATAACAAATTCACAATACAATCTAAGAAACCAAAACAAAAAAGTTGTAATCATTCAGAACCTAGGGCTTAAATATTAAATGAGATATACAAGTTTTGTATTTTAATTTGATTCCATTAAAAAAATCGACTTAATTAAAACTTTTATTATAAAAACTTCAAGTAATGAATTATTCTTCTATTTATCACGTAGTTACTGCTCATTATGGGAATTATTATTTTGTTTCAAAGATTTTGTGATTCGAAACTATATCATACTTTTTCATAACTATTTTTTTATGATAGAGGAGCACAGACGAGCAAGCTATATAATATCTTAACAAGAATGCGTTATCGACCTTTTTTGGTTTTGGATGTTCGAAAATCAAAAAGACTGCAACTGAAACGCGATTAAACTTAACAGCTCTTATAGTGGACGGTTGTTCGTCACCTGGACGGAATTTCGATATTCCTACCACCAATTTGACATCGAGATTTCCAGAAGACGTCCAACATGTTTCAGAAATGTTATAAATTTATTAGAAACAGTTGGTCCCGGTGGGGATCGCAACCACGACCCGGTAATTATTAGCCGTATATTGCTACTATTACAGCAGCAACCCGTCAAATGGCCAGTATATTATAATAATAACAGAGGCAGATGCTCTATCCATGAGTATTTTATACATAAAATTTAAAACACTACTAGGATTAAACCTTTATTAACTTCAAGTCGTCTTAGTGCCTTAGAATGGAAATATATGTATTTTAACGCCAAGTCGCTGAATTCATCATGAACACTTACAGAATTATTATGCAATAGACTTGCATGAATGAGAAACCTAGCGAATACATGTAATTTCCGAAGGTAGAAAGACATGTATTTATATATATCGTCAGGTTATGATTCTTTGTTAACCGTAGATTTTTAAATATAGCCGTAATAGAAGAACATGTAATATGTTTTTGTATTAACAAATGTATTAAGTAATATTATTATATTTAACGAAGTTATTGCCATTTATCTATATTAAACATATTTTTGTATTGTTTAGAGCACAGTTTACGACCAATGAGAGCGAAGAAACGGTGGCAAGCAAATTACCAGAAAGGATCTGGTAATTTGCTTCCGAACCCGAAAACCTTCCTCTCAACTAATTCAAATTTATAATGAGATAAGAGATTTTATTACGAGACAGCTTTTGTATTATAATTTTTGGATATGCAACGTCCACTAGGCCAAAGGCAATATCGTAAGGGCATTCTTGTGAAATTAAGTGTAACCTTATGGAAGGATATGATATCACTCATAACCAATACACTTGACAAATTTCGTAAGAATATTTTTCCAAGATAAAGGGATTCTTTGAAGCATGATAGCCAATAGATAGTAGTTTTTCTTATCACATGGACCCATCTCTAGCCTTCTTAGGAATTAGTCATTTCGAACAAATTGGGCTTATAAAACTCTATCATCTAAAATGCATTAATATTTCGGAATTAAAACCGGTCTTAAAGATTTTGGATGGTTCTTTAGTCTCCCCGTGACCACGGCTGCTGCAAAGAATCCGAAACGTCGGGCCGAAGTTAAAAATCATTTTCAAATTAGTTTAACTAATATATCGCGTTTTAAACCGTTAAAGTGTTTTATTTAAATGTACATACTACTCGCGTAAACTATAGACAGTATTTACCTTTCATATATGTTTAGTTCTAAACCATAAAAGGGATTGTATATGCTAAAATCACTATAAAGGAGGTCTTAATAAATATTCGTAACTTTAGACATTCTGCAAAAGAATATTCAAATAAACTGGATCTATACCAATATCAGACGATTATAGGTATCGATAAATTGTCTAGGTTTGGTTTATGTTATTAAAAAACCCTAGATTGTTTTACCTTTTTTCTTGAATATACATATAAAATTAAATTATTTTTATGTTTATAAGTGCTATAAAAAGGGTATTGTGCTCATTATCTCCCGCAGCTCTTTAAGAAAAATATACCTAAATACCTATAAAGTATTTATGTTATAGAACTGACTTAAAATATAAAGATAGAAATAGTATTACTAAAGCTTAAAACAAGCATCGTAAGTACATAGTAAATTTAATAACGTGAATTCAAAGAGCAACTGTTTACTGACATTTTATCATATTTTTGTCGGTATTTTGTCTATATCAGTGACCGTCTCTGTAGCCTACGTGTTGCCTAGCACTGCGTTAAGAGCGAGATGTCCTATGTTTTATACCAGGGCAACAATCAATTAAGTCGGTCGGACAGGGCACAGAAGTCTGATCAAACTTCTCTGTTAAAGAACCGATCAGTCAAACGGACACACCAATGTATTCCATGACCCACAGGATTTTACTATGCCTATATGGGTTATTACACAGAGAATTATCTGTCAAGTATTGTCTGTTTTGCAAGTCGTACACATTTAATTAAAACAACACAGGATAGGGACACCTACTCAGTCTCCCCGTGACCATCACTGCTACAAAGCATCCAAAATCTCGGCCAAAGCATCTAAAGTTAAAATAAATTGTAAATAAGTTATACATTTCGCGTTTTAAGCCGTTAATAGAGTTTTACTTGAAATAATGATCTGCATATATGTAAATGGCATAAAATATTAAAGAAAAGTGATCGTACCCTTTTTATGTTCGTAATTTTGATTCCCTTTTTGTTCCTGCTTGATTGCTGCATGTGTAGATTCCTCTTTCGCGTCAGAAGTGGACGTGCCGGAGGCTGAAGTGTCAGTCGCTGATGGTCCTGACGCTGTTGTATCAAATTCTGAAGGGCCAGAGTCTGCGGCAGAAGGTGCTGTATTCGAAGCCGACGAAAGCGCGTCAACTGCTGTCGTATCAGTCGCAGTTGCTTCAGCAGTAGTGGCATCTGTTGCCTTCTCTGTCGGTTGAGCTGTTGTCTTCTTTCTCTTACTCTTCCTCTTTTTCGGGAAGAAGCGTGTCGGCTCCCCGTCTTTGTAATTACCATCTGATGGAACCAAGGATATTCTTACACTTTCGTCGTCAGCTGAATATTTTGAAGAAAACCTTTCAGGACGAGTAGATCTTGGTTTAACCGTGGTGACGTCATCTTCGTCGGCCACCATATACAACTGTGGGTTTCTAAAAACGGACAGCTTTCCATTGGCTATACTTTTCTCTTTTTTGGACTTGCGTTGTCTTGATTTTTTGGTTGGTTTTATTGTTGTTGTTTCTATAACTTGTTTGACGCCGTACTTATCTTGCAATGATATTTCTCCTTCATCGTATTCGTCGTATTCAGGTTTCTTCCAGCGTGAGTTTCTATTGTACTTATCGTGCTCCTCACTGGAATCTAGCTTATCTCTTTCAAAGTCCTCTTTGAACAGTTCTTCTTCTTTTAGTTTTTCAGATATAGCTTGTTGTTCTTTCACATGCCGTTCTTTTAATTCATCTACACTATTTAACAATTTAGCTTTTTTTTCTTCATTTTCTCGTTTCTCTTCTTCACTCAACTGTGACTTTCCCGTTGTTTCAGGCTTTTTCTCCGTTTCTGATTTTTGCTTTTCATCACTTCCTTCTTCGTACTCAATATCATCTTCATGTTTCCGAGGTACCTTTTCTTCTTTAGTTTCCTCACTGGCAGTTATATCTTCTTTTTCATTTTTTGTTTCAGCCTTTTCAGTATTTTTATTATTTACAAGAGTTTTAACTTCCTTTTCATTGTTTTCAATAGATTTGGAAACGGGGTTATTTGCCTGTTTTTCAAGCTTTGGCGTCTCCTCACTTTCTTCTTCATATTCAACATCATCTTCATACCTACGGGGACGTTTTTCTTCTTTTGTCTCTTCACTGGATGGCTGGATATTTGCGTTTTCTTTCTTTGTTTCAAGATTTACATCTTCTTTACTCGTAGATTCTTGACTGTTGCTAACTATTTCCTTAGCTTTCTTTTCTTTATTACGTCGTTCAAGGTGTCTCAGAAGAGGATCATTAATAGGTTTTGTTATAATATTAACTATGCCATCTATGTCAGAGATGTTGTGGCTAATAACTTTCTTTGGTTCGACGTGTTCCGCTGGCCTGTTTAAGTCTGACCATTCTTTCTTTTCAAAATAATCTTCATTGTCGCTTTCGCCTTGACCTTTCTCGTAATAATCATCATTATCCGGTTCAGCTACCGCTCGTAGTATAAAATTGATAGGTGGGGCCAGTCGTTTCTTAACTTTTCCTTTTGTAACGGGCAAAAACTCACCAAGTTCATCTCCATGTTTATTCTTGAAGGGCACCCAATCTGGGAATAAATCGCCATTCGCTGCACGTTTCGTTACATTTTTATCACTCACTCCGATACTGAAAGCGTAAGCGCTAGGGATAATAGCGAAAAATATGAGATTCAAAAGTGACATATTGATATGAGAATCTGTTCATAGTATCATAACTGGGTTATTATTTATAAATACGCGAGATGTCGACTCGGGCGCGCGGGTGAAACTGTCGCGGACGGTTTAACTACTATTATTTATACTGTTTGAAAAATGATTCTCTTCGGTGTCGATTGATGAAAGGAAAACATTGATAAGACTTTTACTTTCAGTTAACTCATAAAGCCGCGATCGTAACCAGTACTTGTCCACTATTTTCTTAGCACAAACATGGAAATAATGTATATTCTAATAGTGGTCATGCGTTCTCCAATAACCAAAATAAAGTCTTGCTATAAAAAAAAACAGTTTTCATAAAAAATATTTTAAATCTTTATAGAACTATTTGTAATAGTTTATGATATAATAAGACGAAACATTAAAAGAATATAGTGCCCTCATAGAATATTGACATATTTTACTGTACATACATATGTTATTTTACTGTTTATGTTAAATCATACTACTCATATAATAACACCGGATCAGGATACAGGATAACGAAATACAGATGACTTTTATACATACAAAATTATCGCAGGTTTGACTTATTTAAAATACATTACAAAAATGCGATCTTTGCTGTTGTCCTTGAACTTAATATTTCTTTCACGTTTCCCCATAACTAGTTAGCGTCTTGAACCTGAACGAAAGATGCACTCGCAGCAACCAAACCATGACGACAATTGAAAGACAGCGTTGCACTTTTAAACCGTAACCAAAATTGGTTATACCCATACTATTGCTTTAAATATCTAATTTAGAGACGCCGTGAAGTCACCGTTTCTCACTGCAATCACAAACATAGACGAACGTTTTATTTAGTATTGTTACGTGTGTATTTTGATTAACGATTACACAAGCTTCTACTATTGTACAATGCTCTTTTCAAGTACGTCAATTGATTTCGTTTATATCCGAATGTTGTAATTAAAGAAGAGTAAGACCAAACTTAAATAAGGAATAGGATCCCAATAGTTACAAATATATATAAGTATATTAATACACAATATTTAAAAAAAAGTGTGAAATCCCGTTTTCCCCTCGTGGGGCGAACCCATTTTTGTGTTCGTTTCACTGATCCGTTCTTTAATAGGCAAGTAGTTGATCAGACTACTGTATCCTGTCCGTCCGAAACATTTTCTTGTTACCCTAGGATTCGAGCCCAGGACCTCTCGCGCTAAACGCAATGCTAGGCAATACGTTGAAACATTTGGCTACAGAGGCAGTCACACAATATTTTTTTTACAACACAATATTTAAAAAAAGTGATTTATACTTCCCAATAGTCATAAGTGCCTTCCGAAAACAAGTTCATTATTGTTCAAGTTAATTATTGATCCTTTCAAACTATACTGCATAGATCTCAACATCACACATTTTGGATGCTATTTCAAGGTTATATAATCAAGAAAATTATTAAATAGTAAGAAGAAGAACACAGATAAAAATAGATACAGAGAAATATAATTCTGGCGAGATGTCTAAAACGCTGCTTGGATTATTTGAAATTATTGTCTTAATATATCGTAAATCGTTAATATGAGTAACTTTTTATTTAATACTTTGACACCAACGAAAACTAAACAATATTTTTTGCCGTTCGCTCGCCTCTCAAGGATAGGAACGGATATCGGAACTGCAATGCAATCGGAGTCATCTTGCTACAGTTTCGGTAAAAAACAAGATCAATGACTCGTAAATCTGTTTCAATCTAGTTTATTATTCATGCCTCGTAATTGATTTTATGCCTCTTTCCATTTAACGAGTAATACAGTTTTCCTTTTTTTTACACATATAGGTCAACGTTTGCTCAATATCCTGCTTGGTGAATCACAATGACCTAAAAAAAATATTCACTTCAAATTATTTGGGAAAAACAGGCGGTGGATGTGGTAGCTGGGCATCAGTAATGATGAAACAAAGCAGCCCATGCGGGCTTTTGGTATATTAACTAGATAAGGCTGGAACCGGCACCCCCATCGGTTGTCAATATATAAGTTTTTGAAGAAATGTGTATTGAGAATTTATACCATTACTAGCTATGCCTGCGACTACGTCCGCATGGAATAGTGACTTCGGGTAGAGCTTTTAATTATTTAGGCTGTTTATTAATTTATGTAAGGGCGTATTTAAGGTAGCCAATCTATGTTGTAGTGCTACTTTGATTTGCTCTTACTCCCACTCTCACTCCCACGCCCACTCCAACTCCCACTACCACTATAACTCTCACTCCCACTCCCAACAAGCCAAAGAAGAAAGTTTCAATGTTCTAGCTTCAAAAATCACGAATTTCCTTACAAACTTTCATCCCCTTTTTTATCCCCTAACAACGCTTTATGGGTATTAAAAATCCTCTATCTTATGTCCTTTCTCAGGCTCTAAAATATCTGTGTACCAAATTTCATTTAAATCAGTTCACTACTTTCAGCGTTAAAGCCAGGCAGACAGACAGATAGACAGACAGACAGAGTTACTTTCGCATTTACAATATTAGTAAAGATTACACACCTCGTCGTCATGACCAGAGATAATAATCTAGAGACGCCGTAAATCATTTCTGTACCCAGCTAATTTATCCAAACATAGACTAAATTTTACTTTTACATTAGCGTCTATCTTCAGGCCCCCAATGACCATGACTTCTAGAAGGCATCAGAAACGTCGGGTCATAGTTAAATTACATAAAAATAAATTAACTACGCTTTATTTATCATTAATTAGTAATTAATAATTTTTAATTAATGTTCTTTAACTAAAGCTCGTATCGCAAAACTATAATATAATTACACTAATAATGCCTATGTATTGAAGAAAATAACACATTTCCCACAAAGGCATACGCTTTTCATATGCAAAACATGTTCTGTTTGAGGAAAACAAGTGAAAAATTATCATTCCATTCCGTCAGAGAGATTTATTACAAAGAACTACTGTCAACGTGCCTTTGAGCTACTTTCATTCATACAAATAAAACGTGATTTTTTCTTAACGATAATCATACCCGACTCAACTAGGGACATATACAGTACACATACAAGTATGTATGTGTGTTCATTTTCAGTCCCAAGTGAGACCTGTGACCTGATAGTAGCTTGATCTGCCTTCGCCAGACTTTTGCGATTAGAACTCTGATTGCAAAGTTGGAAAACTGGTTCACCTGCAACAAACCATACCTATACTCGACGGAAGTTTCCTCGTCAGTAACTCATTAGACCGTGACAAAAAGCCATAATTATCTAAAAACGTAAAATTAAAAAGGTGTATATGAGTTTTATACAAAACAAAAATATTTTTGATTTAAAAAAAAGAAACATAATGACACAGGCGAGATTCAAACCCACGCCCATATTCTTGCTCTACCAACTTTACTAGTCCCGCTGCTTCACTAAGTATTCAATCTAAATTCTATTTTTAAAATAATAATAATTTTAAAACCGTATCTAATAATCAAACGTTATTTATACCGTCACAGGGGGTCATATATACAAACATATCAAACATACAATATCTCTTTAAAAAAATTTTTAGCGGTGACGCAACCATGACTACCTAATCAGGCATATTGTAGACAAGGTTAAGTTTCTCCGCCAATAATAAATTAGACACCATAAAAACTTAGTTTTCCTTTCTTTTAACTTTTTACGAGTTTCGAGTTGTTGATTAATTACGGAGGTGGGGGAGTTGTAAAAACTCCTGACTTTAATTATAGTTTTTGGGTCTTCTTAATAATTAGGATGGAATATTATGAGCAGCGATATCTAAACGCCATTTGATTTATTCGATTCTAGACAAAATCTTTAAAATTATATACTATAAAAATAAGATAAAATGTTTAAAGTCTAAATACCAGAATTCTGAAAAAAGTACCTAATTAAATACTGTCTGTAGTTTACGCGAGTAGTACAAATTTAAATAAAACACTGAAACGGTTTAAAACGCGATATATATTAGTTAAACCACGTGATCACGGCTATGTACAGCATCTGAAACGTCAAACAGTAGTTGAAATAATTTTCGAATTTAAAAATATATATCGCGTTTTAAACCGTTTAAAGTGTTTTATTTAAAAGTACCTAATTATCCAATTTTACTATGTATAAATAATGTATAGTGTTTTTGTGGAAGTTTCTTTTGTTTTATTTATTTACATACTAGTTATCAACGCTATTATAACATTTATGTTACATACTTTGTACATAAATAAAGAAGTATTGCAATAAAGAAGACGAAGAACGTTTTATACGATCTAAGAACCGCTAATCCTTCGTGCAGGTAAGGTACGCTTAAAATTCGCCTCTGCCTCTATACAATACAAACTTCTCGAAAAGTAAACATTTGGATAGTAACTCGTTAAAATTGTTGTTTAAAGATATTCCTCCGGAAATTTCCGGCACAATACTACGTGAAATAACGTTTTGAAGAATCGCTCTTGAAAATGTTGAACTAACATAGAAGAAACGTATGTTTTACTGGATGTAGTTTATTTTTAATGAAAGAATTAAGTTTAAACTATTTATTAGAATCTATTAATATTTATTATAATGTTAATATTATATTTTATAGAAACTAATACATCTTTAGGCAATGACACTTTCTATGTATAAAATCTATTTGTAAACGTTTATTTAATCGATTTTAATTATTAATAACTTACAAAGATAAGTAGAAAAAACTCTTTACCAAATGGCTTCACACGCATTAAAAAAAATACATTTATTGTTTGTTAATTTATAAAATTCATGTCTTGACAGGTGGGAGCCCAATTCGACACTGATTGAATACTGATGATTTAATACTGTTTCCCCCCGTAGGGCATGGGGCGAACACATCGTGTCCGTTTCACTATCGATTTTATATACAGGCAAATTTTTGATCACACTTCTGTATCCTGCGTAACCGATTCGAACCCAGACCTCTCGCGCTTAGCGCTATACTAGGCAACACGTTTAACCAATTAGCTACAGAAGCTGTCGGAAAATAAA